GCAATCTCGGGCTAAGTCAGTTTTCTCGAGTCGCGTGAGCGCACTCCCCTGGCCGCAGGGCGGAGTTCACCACAGACGGGACGAGATGCTCTCTCCGCATTTCTGCAATCGCTGGCATCTTAAAATTCGCGCCCTCCCCTCCGTTCTGAAAATCTCTTTCGGCACGAAGATGTTTCCACCTGCCTCTCTCCTCCGGTCGGTGTCGGGTGTTAACAGCTGCCGACGGGACGTTAACGTAGAGTCACAGAATCGTGGAATCGCCAAGCGTTGGGCGGGACGGAGCCCTGCCTTCCTGGGGATGGCTGAACCCCCGCCTGCCGATGGGAAGGAGTCAATGAATCCCTTGCGTGCGCGGCTTTCGCTTTCCCTCTTCAACTGGCTTCGTCTCAACCCATGCATTTTCTCGTTTTGACCCTTCCCATCCCGCTGTGGAGCGGCTGCGCGGGGCTTAGTCGCTGGCTGGGGTTCAGCCACGACGCAGATGCCGTCGGAATAGGAAACCTGAGCAAACTACGCTCTCTTTTCTAAACTGTCTTGGCGTTTGGGATCCGTCCCCTCATCCGCAGCCCAAGAGGCAGAGGGCTCGAAAGGCGGCTCAGAAATGTCGTCCTTAAACATAGGGATCGCGCTGGCGTCCAAATAAGAGTTGGCCGATTTGAAGAGCATCTCGGTGGCTCCTTATCTGCGCCCTGAGAGATTTCTAGAGGTTCCTAAGGCGGGCAGCAGAGAGGACGAACGCTATTTGATGATGTCTCCACTCACGGATCACCGAACCACAGAACGGTTGAGGTTGGAAGGGCCCAGTCACCCACACGGTCAAAAAAGTGTTTTCTGAGGTTCAAGGGAACCTCCCGTGTTTGGGTTTGTGCCCGTTGCCTCTGGTCCTGCACTGGGGAGCGCTGGAAAGAGCTGGTCTCCGTCCGCTTTGCACCCTGGGGTTGAGACGCATTGAGGACGCCCCCCCCGAGCCTCCTCCTCTCTGGGCTGAGCAGGCCCAGCTCTCCCAGCGTCCCCATGGGAGAGACGCTCCAGTCCCTTCGTCACCTTTGGGGCCCGTTGATGGACTCTCCCTACCAGGCAGGGGGAGCCCAGAGCCAGACCCAGTGCTCAAGGCTTCAGATCAGCCCGGCGCACGCGGCAGCGGACCCCCACCCTTCACCTCCCGGCTGAAGCCTGCCCGGCCACCGAAGAGTGACGCATCTCCTTCGGGGAGCGCGGTAACACCTCGCGTAACGTCCGGACTATAAAACCTCCCAAACCCAGCAACAATCACGACAAAAAACCCACACCCACGCCGGTCCCTGGGAAAAACCCCAATCCATGGCACGAGAAGAAGTTGGAACCTCTTGTTTCGGTTTACGGGCTAACAGCTCTCACTGTTCTTGCTTGCCCTTCGCTAAGCACTTCTTAAAAGCTTTCCTCGTTGCATTTATAGCGTAAAAAAAGCTCTTCAAGCTACAGAGGAATGGTGAAAAGGATTTAAAACCCCCGCTCGCGGTAGAGAATTCCTCCAAACCCGTCTTCGTAACGGACGCTATACAATTCCCTGAGAAGACTGTAGGTCACGAAGGGTCAGCGCTCGGCGTAGTCCTTACCTCCTTAGATTCACCCAGCAGAGTGCGAGCCGTTCTTTTTCACCGCTTGTCAACCTTCCGCGTGGTGGTTTTCTGTCTTTACTCCCAGCAAACGGGATGTAAAATGGGGTGGCTCATCTACCGTGAAGGAGGAGGAGAAAGAAGCAGCTACCACGTCGGCAAAGGACAGAGCGGGACCAGTTGAAGACCCAGCGCCCGTGAAGTCTGACACGAAGGAAGGACCAAGTTAACCCTCAGGAGAGAGAGCATTTGGCGAGGGAGCTTGGGGGGAAGCTCGGGCAGCACCAAACCTGGCAGAAGCGGTGACCAACCAGCAGCAAAGGTGTGAGGCGCAGGACGGACGGGAGCTGGAGGCCGACGGCGACCAGGCCGCCCGTGTCCTCTGCCTCCAAAACGAGCTGACGCCCATCGTGGGGTGGTCCCAGCGTCCCCGTGGCCCCGCAGTCCCCAGGGAGCTGCCGTGGCCCAGGCGGGACCATGGGGACCCGGGGCCGGCCCGGCCCCCGCCGCCCCCAGCCCAGCTCCCGAGGTGGGGCAGCGGCTGGGGCAGGGGAGCGTGGTGACCACTGCAGGTTTCTGTCTCTTGGTGACCCAAAGAAATGGGATCCTGCCTGTCGCAACAGGCGGAAACGGGAGTCTGAGGTCCCCGGCATCCCCTGGAAGAAATCCTGCTCCTGCTCCTGCTCCTGCTCCTGCTCCTGCTCCTGCTCCTGCTCCTGCTCCTGCTCCTGCTCCTGCTCCTGCTCCTGCTCCTGCTCCTGCTCCTGCTCCTGCTCCTGCTCCTGCTCCTGCTCCTGCTCCTGCTCCTGCTCCTGCTCCTGCTCCTGCTCCTGCTCCTGCTCCTGCTCCTGCTCCTGCTCCTGCTCCTGCTCCTGCTCCTGCTCCTGCTCCTGCTCCTGCTCCTGCTCCTGCTCCTGCTCCTGCTCCTGCTCCTGCTCCTGCTCCTGCTCCTGCTCCTGCTCCTGCTCCTGCTCCTGCTCCTGCTCCTGCTCCTGCTCCTGCTCCTGCTCCTGCTCCTGCTCCTGCTCCTGCTCCTGCTCCTGCTCCTGCTCCTGCTCCTGCTCCTGCTCCTGCTCCTGCTCCTGCTCCTGCTCCTGCTCCTGCTCCTGCTCCTGCTCCTGCTCCTGCTCCTGCTCCTGCTCCTGCTCCTGCTCCTGCTCCTGCTCCTGCTCCTGCTCCTGCTCCTGCTCCTGCTCCTGCTCCTGCTCCTGCTCCTGCTCCTGCTCCTGCTCCTGCTCCTGCTCCTGCTCCTGCTCCTGCTCCTGCTCCTGCTCCTGCTCCTGCTCCTGCTCCTGCTCCTGCTCCTGCTCCTGCTCCTGCTCCTGCTCCTGCTCCTGCTCCTGCTCCTGCTCCTGCTCCTGCTCCTGCTCCTGCTCCTGCTCCTGCTCCTGCTCCTGCTCCTGCTCCTGCTCCTGCTCCTGCTCCTGCTCCTGCTCCTGCTCCTGCTCCTGCTCCTGCTCCTGCTCCTGCTCCTGCTCCTGCTCCTGCTCCTGCTCCTGCTCCTGCTCCTGCTCCTGCTCCTGCTCCTGCTCCTGCTCCTGCTCCTGCTCCTGCTCCTGCTCCTGCTCCTGCTCCTGCTCCTGCTCCTGCTCCTGCTCCTGCTCCTGCTCCTGCTCCTCCTCCTCCTCCTCCTCCTCCCTCCTTCTCCTCTTGCTCCACCTCCTCCTCCTGCTCCACCTTCTTCTCCTCCTCCTCCTCCTCCTCCTTCTCCTCTTGCTCCACCTCCCTCTCCCCCCCCCCCCC